GAGAATCCGAGACAACAAGGTGCAGGGCTGGATGAACACAGCAGGCCAAGCAGCATCATAGGAGCAGAGAAGCTGACGTTTCGGGCCTAGACCCTTCATCAGAAAAGGGGGAGGGGAAGGGGGTTTTGAAATAAATAGGGAGAGAGTGGGAGGCGGATAGAAGAGGGATAGAGGAGAGGATAGGTGGAAAGGAAACAAACAGGTCGAAGAGGCGGGGATGGAGCCAGGAAAGGTGAGTGTAGGTAGGGAGTTAGGAAGGGGATAGGTCAGTCCAGGGAGGACGGACAGGTCAAGGGGGCGGGATGAGGTTGGTCGGTAGGAGATGGAGGTGCGGCTTGAGGTGGGAGGAAGAACAGGTTAGGGAGGCAGGGACGAGCTGGACTGGTTTTGGGATGCGGTAGGGGGAGGGGAGATTTTGAAACTTGTGAAATCCACATTGATACCATTGGGCTGCAGGGTTCCCAAGGAGAATATGAGTTGCTGTTCCTGCAACCTTCGGGTGGCATCGTTGTGGCACTGCAGGAGGCCCAGGATGGACATGCCGTCTGAGGAATGGGAGGGGGAGTTGAAATGGTTCGCGACTGGGAGGTGCAGTTGTTTATTGCGAACCGAGCGTAGGTGTTCTGCAAAGCGGCCCCTGAGTCTCCACTTGGTTTCCCCGATGTAGAGGAAGCCACACCGGTTTCAGCGGATGTAGTATACCACATTGGCAGATGTGCAGGTGAACATCTGCTTGATGTGGAAAGTCTTCTTGGGGCCTGGGATGGGGGCAGGTGTAGCACTTCCTGCGGTTGCAGGGAAAAAAGTGCCGGGTGTGGTGGAGCTGGAGGGGAGTGTGGAGCGGACAAGGGAGTCACGGAGAGAGTTGTCCCTCCGGAAAGCAGATAAAGGTGGGGAGGGAAAGATGTCTTTGGTGGTGGGGTCGGATTGCAGATGGCGGAAGTGTCAGAGGATGATGCGTTGGATCCGGAGGTTGGTGGGGTGGTACGTGAGGACGAGGGGGATTTTTTTTGGTTCTTATTGCGTGGACGGGGTGTGAGGGATGAGGTGCGGGAGATGGTGGGGTGGTGTCCAGGAGGAGGGGGTGTGTTGGAAGCGGGAGAAGGGGTCAGTAGAGGGAGGGTTAGGTTCACGGTTGAAGAAGTAAGCGTGGAGGCGGAGGCGGCGGAAAAACTGCTCTATGTCCAAGCGTGAGCGGTATTCGTTGATCTGTGGGTGGAGGGGGACAAAGGTGAGCCCTTTACTGAGGACTGACCGTTCGTCCTCAGTAAGGGGTAGGTCTGGGGGGATGGTGAAGACTCGGCAGGGCTGGGTGCTGCTGTGTCCTCTGGAGCTGCTGGCAGTTTTTCCGCCGCCTCCGCCTCCACGCTTACTTCTTCAACCGTGAACCTAACCCTCCCTCTACTGACCCCTTCTCCCGCTTCCAACACACCCCCTCCTCCTGGACACCACCCCACCATCTCCCGCACCTCATCCCTCACACCCCGTCCACGCAATAAGAACCAAAAAAAATCCCCCTCGTCCTCACGTACCACCCCACCAACCTCCGGATCCAACGCATCATCCTCTGACACTTCCGCCATCTGCAATCCGACCCCACCACCAAAGACATCTTTCCCTCCCCACCTTTATCTGCTTTCCGGAGGGACAACTCTCTCCGTGACTCCCTTGTCCGCTCCACACTCCCCTCCAGCTCCACCACACCCGGCACTTTTTTCCCTGCAACCGCAGGAAGTGCTACACCTGCCCCCATCCCAGGCCCCAAGAAGACTTTCCACATCAAGCAGATGTTCACCTGCACATCTGCCAATGTGGTATACTACATCCGCTGAAACCGGTGTGGCTTCCTCTACATCGGGGAAACCAAGTGGAGACTCAGGGGCCGCTTTGCAGAACACCTACGCTCGGTTCGCAATAAACAACTGCACCTCCCAGTCGCGAACCATTTCAACTCCCCCTCCCATTCCTCAGACGGCATGTCCATCCTGGGCCTCCTGCAGTGCCACAACGATGCCACCCGAAGGTTGCAGGAACAGCAACTCATATTCTCCTTGGGAACCCTGCAGCCCAATGGTATCAATGTGGATTTCACAAGTTTCAAAATCTCCCCTCCCCCTACCGCATCCCAAAACCAGTCCAGCTCGTCCCTGCCTCCCTAACCTGTTCTTCCTCCCACCTATCCCCTCCTCCCACCTCAAGCCGCACCTCCATCTCCTACCGACCAACCTCATCCCGCCCCCTTGACCTGTCCGTCCTCCCTGGACTGACCTATCCCCTTCCTAACTCCCTACCTACACTCACCTTTCCTGGCTCCATCCCCGCCTCTTCGACCTGTTTGTTTCCTTTCCACCTATCCTCTCCTCTATCCCTCTTCTATCCGCCTCCCACTCTCTCCCTATTTATTTCAAAACCCCCTTCCCCTCCCCCTTTTCTGATGAAGGGTCTAGGCCCAAAACGTCAGCCTCTCTGCTCCCATGACGCTGCTTGGCCTGCTGTGTTCATCCAGCCCTGCACCTTGTTGAACCAGTCTAACTCAAGCCTTTCAAATCCAGCATTCTATATTGCAACTACTACATAGCGAAGGTACAGTACCCAAAACTGAAAGCAGTATTCCCAATGGCAGCTTACCTGACTTTTGTAAAACTGCAGCATCCCTTTTTATTCCAGCCCTCTTGGAATAAATGTTAAGATTTAACTAGCACTTTGGATAGGTACAAAAACATCACAGTTGATTTGGTTACCTTAAATGGTAAAACTGGTCAAGTTAGATACAAGAATGAAATCTGGCTTGATAATTCAAATTCTAAGAAGTTGGAAGTAACAGGGCAGTAAGTCATCGAAACAATCACAAGTGCGCAAACTTTTAAAAACAGTGGAAGAGATGTTTACTCACAAGGTGGAAAATAAAAACTAGATAGAGACCTACAGTTAAAGATCTTAGACAGAAAACTCATTTCCTAGTACTAGCCATTATCAAGAAGCAAAGCTGGAGAAAAAAAATCACTTTCTATCACAAATCTTTAAGTTTAACCTAATTGATTCTCCCCAGTTTCAGTCCTAGATTAATCTTATGTGATGAGTCTCAAAACTAGCTTGCTTCCTCAACTTCTAATAACTTGCAAATTTCTAACTAAGCACTCTTGGTTTTGAAAACGTTTGTGGAACTTCTAAAGAGGAAAGTGTTTTGCCTGCTCTGACACAAACCGTTAGTTCACTATTCCAGAGAACCACTTTACCTAATGCTCTCAAAGACAAATTCTTAAAGTAACTGTCACTTATGTCATTATTTTGAACTCCAAATTCTAAAAGTTCTAATTATATATTGCAAGAGAAGACCTTTCATTACAACTTAGATCCTCAAGATCTCTTTATTCATCTAGTTTTTCTAAGTGATGAAACACAAGTCAAGAGTGGATGATTTCAATCTTTCAGTTTCTGTCACTCAATTTAATCAATGTCCGATTGTAAATTTTGTTGTGCATGTGTCCAATTATATTTATGAGACAAAGGAACTGGAGATGCACAAGGATCTCAATTAAAAAGGGTATTCATTTCGGAATAAGGGTCTCTTTTCAAGAGACCCCTCTCTATATGTAGAGGGCTTAACATAATGAAAGGTTTTGATAATGTATACAGATGTTTCCATTTATCAGGATCCAAAATTAAGCTTTGCAGATCCATTCCACAACAGATAAGAATCAAATAAGCCTCATTTACATACCTTGTTCAAAATGAAGCCACACATTACTGGTCATAACACTCATACAAGAGCCAATTGTCCATCCTTCAAATTAGAATGCAGATTTTACATGTTTGAGCTTGGAATCTGAATAACTTCCAATAGAGGTGCAAGCCAAGTCATTTTTTTCCTAGGATATTATTCTTTATACAAAATTTGCAGGCTTATTCAATTGCAGACAATATTCAGCCAGTCAAATGATGCCAGATACCAGCTAACCATTTCAATAATAATGTTATTAATAATAAACAATAACAATAATAATATTTACTGGGAAGTAGGCAGAAACGCAGAAGTTTTAGAATTTGTCATAATTAGTAGTTACAGAACGGACAGAGGCCTTTCAGCCTGATGTTTACAGGAAAATCTATTTTTCCCCCTTCATGACGGGGGAAGGGATTTTCACTCTTGGTCATGATATCGATGATTTGCATTATATTGCATGGCTAGTCACCAACACTTCGGTTGGATTTTAAACTGGAGATAACTCCTGCATGTGGCTCTCCACGTGAATTATTCTGTCGTTTCCACAATTTCCGCGCCATAGTCATGGTTTTAAAACCTATGATACAATATTTTAAAATTAATGCCTCCAAGACTTGTACTGATACTCGAATGCTAATTCACTTACCGTTTTATTTACCCGATTGTTAGGATAATTAGTTACGCCACAGCTTTCCAGTTCCAATTTCGACTACTGCCTCAGCAGAAAAGCAAACACCAAATCACGCGCTGTCCAGCGCCATCATATTTTGGCGACGTACTGCTTCGATTTTGGCATTCCTGCTCTTGTTTTTCGCTGGTGCTGCTGGCGTTATCAGGATCTTTAACCTTAAAATCTTAGTTGAGTTTGCCAATTAAACCAAGACAGGGGGAAGAATCCCAGCAGCCAGGGTTAGGTAACAAAGCTGAGTGGGAAGAGAGAGAGAGAGCGCGAGTAAACGCACAGAATGCTCAGGATTACGGATTTGGAGTGCAAGACGTCCATGACCAGATCTTTGGAGTCCAGAAAAGCACTCCTTTGCTCTTCCTGTTCCACCTGGTCTGCATGACTTGGCTACGAGCATCACTTTTCAGCCGTCACGTTTTCAGAGATCTGGGAAACTTGCCTAATTAGCAATTTACCCTACTCACTCCGTCACTTCATCCCTTCCAATACTGGAAGCAGTTTCACAACAGATTTTCACGGACAAACTTGAGCTATAAACAGTTTACAAGTTTAACGTTTTAAATATGCGCTCAGATACGGGTACCAAAAATATTGCTGAAATAAACTGCAAGCTTTATTAGTAAAGACATTTCAAGCAAGTCGAAAAAAAAAGCATAGATTTTAGCATGGACAGAGATAATCCTACAGAAAATGAAACGATATAGTTTACTGATAGAACAAAGTGGTGTTTTCCAACCTATGGAACAAAATATCGTCAATTAACAGTTGTTAAGTTCTTTCTTTCCATTCCGATTGCCATAACCCGGCTAATGCAAAGCACAACAATGAATGTGGCATTAACACTGAGGTTTTTTTTCCTTAAAGCATTTTAAAAAAATAGACAGTGCTTTTGTAAGAAAAAGGGGCGATATTAAAAGGATATCTTCAGGTTTAAAGTACCCAAATTTATGAAGATACTGCTACAGCTGTACTTTTAAGCAATCAATATTTTCTAATAATTGTTTTGCACTAGGTCTACGGTTTGGTTCACATTCCCAGCAGTTACTAATGATTGATCGAATCCCGCGGCCCATCGAGGACTCATTGAAAATTCTGGAGAAAGATGGACGCCGGTTGTAAGCCACTACAGCATACATCACACACTGACGATCACCGGAATAGGGCTGATCTCTACTTATCATCTGCCAGAGCGTGATCGCAAAAGAATAAATATCTGCCTTTAAAGTAGCGCGACCTCCTTTCAAGAGCTCAGGTGCCCGGTGAGTGTAGGTACCAGCAAGATGTCGCAATTGACCATTAGGAGTCAAGTCACCGCCAATCGGCAATTTGTGAGAACATCCAAAATCTCCGATTTTACACCGTCCCGCCTCGGTGATCAAGATATTAGCTGGTTTCAGATCCAAGTGTACGATGTGGTGCGAGTGTAGGAAACTCAGCCCACTCACAATGTCATGAGAAAATGTTAAACATCCCCTCATTTCCAGCGGTTCTGTACAGTTGTAAATCCTGTGATCTAGGCTGGTTCGTCCTGCATACTCCATGATGATAGTGCCCACACAGTCCTCGGCCTCTGGATCTGCGGGAACAGAGGTAGTGGCTGCTACAACCCTTACAATGTTCTCATGGACCAGGTGAGCGACGTTCAGTTCTGCCCAGAAACTGTGCCTAGCAGCCAGCTTGTTCTTTACGCACTTTCTCACTTTCTTTATTGCAACAGTTTGACCATAATAAGTTCCTTTATAAACCCATCCGAAACCACCTGAACCCACAAGATCAAGTAACTTTAGTTCATCCCAAATTACCGTGCACCAAGAGCGCCGTCGTAACACCCGACGTGGCTTTATGCAAGATAAACGGCGGCCCTGCAATTGGTTGGGGCTGCTGCAAGGCCCCAGTGAAGTAGTCGGTGGTAATGCCCTCGGCAAAAACCGGGAAATTGGGATAGGTGATGGCATTATTTTTCCCCACCCCTTAGTACAAACGAACAGGCAGCATCTTTTACTAATGACTGTTCACTGATGAACCAATGGGTTACATCTGCACATTGTTAGCAGAGTCAAGCTCTGGAGAACAAATCCAAGGTATGGCCAAGTCCAAAAATGAGCATGTGGGATTCAAACACAGCAGAACATTGCGAGCCGCAAACTCCTGATTAGCAAAACGCTTAAATAAAACCAGTGATGATCTAATGCTCATAAAATGTCTTTAAAATGCATATATTTTAAGCAATTATTGATTAATTAGAAGAAATATCCCCGCACCTCCGCCAATAATAACTCCATGAGAGAACAAATAATTCAAAGTATACGTGGATGCCTATACTTTTTCCCCAGTTTGATTTTCTGTAATTTTCTGTTACACAGAACCTACGCAATGTTTTGAAATTCTCTCTTCAACAGAAGGTAAAGGTACCCAAAGTAGAATAGTTAAACATGTTTAAATAAACAGGTCTAAAGTCGATACCTCTTTTAACCTTATCCTCTGTGGTAAATGAGTTGAAATTGTTAGAGGTAATTTTAAGCGTGAACAAGTCTCTTTTAAAAAAAAAGTCCTCCAGTTTATATATCCCAGTCCATTGCTGGAGGATTTCTTCCCCCTTCAGCAACAAAGCAAACTAAAAATCATTCAGTTTGGGGCTTTTCTTATTAGTTTCATGGCATAAAATGTGAACGAACGGAGAGAGGCCAGATCTGGAGTCGATCATCTTACTTTTAAACCAGAAGACCTTTTTTATTTATGTGTAAAATAAAACTAATCAGAACCGCATGTCGAAAATTTGACATTTTTATATCAAATACTCGACAAATTATCAAATCTCTCTGGTAGAGCGCATTATTTACATATACAGCGTATGTTTACGTTTATGCATCAATATTTCGAAAATCGAAATTGTTATTGCCCTAACTCTGAATTATCAAGTTTTTGATAACAATTTTAGCTGTAGTTTTGTCGCAGTGATCTTTAAAACTGATGTTTACTGAAAATGCGTGGTCTAGGCCCGAAACGTCAGCCTTTCTGCTCCTATGACGCTGCTTGGCCTGCTGTGTTCATCCAGCTCCGCACCTTGTTGTCTCGATTCTCCAGCATCTGCAGTTCCTACTATCTCTGAGATTTTTTTATTCTGGCTTCTGATTCTCATAATACTTAGCTGAAAATGATAGATTACTATCAATGGGCAATATTACAAATAACAATTGAGTTCTCTCGTGGTACACTGGTATCCCCACCTCTGAGCCACAAGGCTCAGGTTCAAATGCCACGTGCTCCAGAAGTGTGTAATAATATCTCTAAATACGTTGATTAGAGCTGCCTAGAAATGTGAAACATGTATCTGAAGTCAAAGGGTTTCTTTAATTCACCTGTGGGATGTGGACATCGTTGACTGGCCCGCATTTTTTAATTGTCCATCCCTAGTTGCTCTTGAGAGGTGGTGGTGAGCTGCCTCATTAAACAGCTTCAGTCAACATGCTGTAGGTTGGCCTCAGCAAGGGAATTCCAGGATTTTGACTAAGCTTCAATGAAGGAACACTATTACATTTCCAAGTCAGGCTGGTGAGTGGTTTGGAGGGAAACTTTTAGGTCATTGTGTTCCCAGGTATCTGCTAGGATTACTTAAAGTCATAGAATCATTGAGATGTAAAGTGTGGAAAGAGGTCCAGCACATTCATGCTGACCAGATATCCAAAATTAATCTAGTTCCATTTGCCAGTATTTTGGCTATATCCATCTAAACCCTTCCTATTAATATACCTGTTCACCATGGTGCAGCTATACTACACAGATAGGTTTACTTAGAGTGTGATATTTTATTCAAGGGATACATTCACAGCCTGAAGACTAAATTACAATGTAAGTTACATTGAAAATTTCATGCCTTAAAAACATGAAAACACGTAACACAAATGTAGTTTCAAAATTTAATATATTCGTCTGGTAACAGGAAGCTGATGGATGAGATCTTTTTTTAAAAAAAGGATAAAGACGAATTATGTTTATTAAAATAATCATTTGAAACTTTCAAGTGTGAGAAAATAATTATTCTTTTATTTCTATAATAAAATATTGTTCATCCTTTCCTTAACATTTTTGGTTTATTTCATGTTAATACAATCAAATGGGAAAACATTAGAAGCTGCAAATAAGATGTTAAAGAGGCATTTTGATTTTTGGGTTTCTGAATGAAATGTTGAGGCTGCATTGGGGAAAAAAAATACCATGAACTCAACACCCTTACATTCAAGGCTATAGGCAAAGGTATTTCTATTTACAGTTGTCAGAGAAACAGGAGAAAGCTTTGTTCGAGATCTCTGCCATTTCTGAAACAAAAGCTCAGCGGGACAATAGCTGCATTCTCCATGAAATACCTTGACTAATCAGAGTTGACTTGCCAACTAATTAGTACTCCTTTTCACCCTATCCACATCCCTCAGGATTTTATAAACTCCTATAAGGACATCCCTCAGCCTCCAACTCTCCAAGGCAAAAAGCCCCAGTCTATTCAGCCCCTCCTTATAACTCAAACCCTCCAGTCCCAACAAAATTCCTTGTAAATCTTTTCTGCACCCTCTCAATTTAACAACATCCCTCCATAGGAGGGTGACCAGAATTTGTAATCAGTATTCTTCTAATGTCCTGTATAGCCGCAACATGATGTCCTGACTCCTATACTCAATGTTCTGACCAAAGAAAGCAAGCATACCCAACGCCTTCTTCACCACCTTGTCTATCTGTGACTCCACTTTCAAGGAACTATGCACTCGCACACCTAGGTCTCTTTGTTCAGCAACACTCCCTGGGCCCGACCATTAACTTCATAAGTGCAGCCTTTACCAAAACGCAACACCTCATATTTATCTAAATTAATCTTCATCTGCCAATCCTTAGCATCTCAGCCCATCTAATCATGGTCCCATTGTACTTTGGGATAATTTTCTTCACTGTCTGCTACACAACCAATTTTGGTGTCTTCTGCAAACTTACTACCCATATCTCCTATAGTCACATCCAAATCATTTATATAAATGACAAAAGTAGTGGAACTGGCCGCAATCCTTATGACACACCACTGGTCACAGGCCTCTGTTGCCAACCTTCAAGTCAATTTTGTTCCAATTTGCGGTCTCTCCCTGGATCCCACGTGATCTAACCTTGCTAACCAGTCTACCATGCAGAACCTTGTCAAATGCCTTGCTAATGTCCATATCGATAATGTCAACTGTTCTGCCTTCATGAATCTACTTTGTCACCTCTTCAAAAAACTCAATCAAGTTAGTGAGACATGATTTCCCACACACAAAGCCATGTTGACTATCCCTAATTAGTCCTTACCTTTCCAAACACATGTAAATATTGTCCCTCAGAATCCCCTCCCTAAAATAAAAAGTAAGAATCAGTATTTATTGACTATATCGTATTATAGTTTCCAGGGAGCAGAGTCAAAGGGAGGAGCACAGAACGGTGAGTATAAAAACTAACTTATCTCAGGGATTCACAGCCTTGTTTCCAGAGAGTGGAGTCAGAGGGAGGAGCACACAGAGTAACTGAAACCAAACTGAAAATGTGATGTCACAGGATGGCTGTGACATGATTGTCCAAAATTTGAAAAAAAAAAACAACAAAACTAATTAATAAATAATTAACTAATCAGGGATTAACTAACTAATAAATTAATTAACTAAATAGAGATGGCTGGGCAGGTGATGTGCTGTAGCTGTATGATGTGTGAGCTGCAGTGACCACATCTGTGGCAAGTGTCGGTTTCTGGAGAAACTTCGGCTCAGAATTGATGAGCTGGAGTCTGAGCCTCAGATACTGCGGCACATCTGGGAGGGAAAGAGCTATCTGGACACTTTGTTTCAGGAGGTGATTACGCCTGGTAGGTTAAGTACCTCAAAACTGGTCAGAGGTCAGGGACAGCAAGGTGTGACTGCAAGTGAGGGAGGTAGAGGGATCCTGTAATAAGGAACAGAGGAGTCTCAGCTCTTGACCTTGTGCGACAGGTACAAGGTACTTCCTCCCTGTAGGGAGGGCGATCCAGCTGACCACGGCACCAAGGTACAGGAGGCCATTAATGAGGAGGGAGCAAAAAGACAAGTATAGTTTTAGGGGATTCTATAATTAGGGGAATAGATAGCATCCGTTGTCAGCAGGATTGAGATTCCCACATAGTATGTTGCTTGCCCGGTGCCAGGGTGAGGGACATCTCTAACTGGCTTGAAAGAATATTGGAGGGGGAGGATCCAGTTGTTATGGTCCACGTCAGGACAAACAACATAGGCAAGACTAAGAAATAGACCTGTTTAGGGATTATCAAAAACTAGGAACTAAATTAAAGAACAGGTCCTCAAGGGTTATAATCTCCACATTATTACCTGAGTCATGTGCATATTGGCATAGGGATGCAAAATAAGAGAAGTAAACACATGCCTAAAAGAGTGGTGTGGGAAAGAGGGGTTCCTTTTCATGGGAGACTGGCATCAGTACTGGAACAGGAAGGATCTGTACCATTGGGACAGTCTCCACCTGAACCCAGCTGGGACCAATGTTCCATCAAAAAGCATACATAAGGTTGGTCAACAGGACTTCAAACTAGTAAGTGGGGGGAAGGGAAAGGTAAAACGCTAAGAAGTATAATGGCCAATTGGAACCAAAGCAGCAGGGTAACATATGTGAGGATGGATTCAATTGCATTCAAAATTATGAAAAACTCAAAAGATAGGAGAACTCAGGAGAAGTTATTAAAGTCCCAGAACACAAAAAAGGACAGAGTGTTTGGTAAGGGTTAGGAAACAAACTTCAAGCAAAACGGATAAATGGATGACAATGAGAAGAGGGATGGTATATACAGGACTGCAGGTATTGTATCTGAATGCACAAAGTGTACAAAATAAGGTAAATGAGCTTGTGGCGCAGATCGAAATTGGAAGGTATGATGTGGTGGGCATCACGGAGACACGGCTGCAAGTGGATCAGGACTGGAAGCTAAATATCCAAGGATATACATCCTATCAAAAAGACAGGCAGATG